TTAACCATCAATATCAGAATGGCTTAGATTACATGATTAACTAGTAAGAGTTTTGAGCTGGCTGGTAATTTTAGATTAAATAGTCAGGCAGCCAGTGACTTGAATATTGATGAAAATCCTGTGTTTTATTAATATGCATTCTCTATAAATTAGAGGCTTAGTACACAAAGAAGAATCGTAATGCTCTTGCTATTTTTCATTGCCACAGGTAGAGCTGAATAATTCATAACAATTAATTTATTTCACTGATTTAGCCTTTTGGGGTGGGGGGGAGGTAGGGGGGAGGTAGGGGGGAAGTTGAGCACAAGTAGTCTGCAGGTAATTTTTTCCATGTTTATTTATGATAAATAACTCACCAAACACATTTGAAGACTAATTCTTAGTTGTGGGGATTTTTTTGTATTTTAAATTGGAGAAATTGGGAGGAATATGGGCATAAGTGCAAGCAACCTGCCAGTCAGTACAAGAACCCAAATGAATTTTAAGTTGTAAAAAAAGCCTAGCTAATTGCAAATACAACACATACAGGGTCATGCTCATGTTGATTTGTATTGATTGGTGCAATGCTGGTTACATTGCATATTTCTGCTCCTCATTTAATTGATTCTAGTTCTTCAGGACCAAGATTTTCTTACAAATATATCTGTAGGCAGAATTTCTAGTCTGTATTTAGTCCCTAATTCACAGGTGAAATACTGTCCCTTTTGCTGCCAAGGGAAGTTTTACCCTTCATTCTGAAATATCCAGGATTCTATCTGCTGATGGCAACATTCCTGAAAATCCTTTTTGGTACACACAGAGCAGTAATGTGTCTAACATGAATGACATTTTATATTTGTGCAAAGTTTCAGAATACCCATATGCAGAATTTTAAATTTATTTTTTAGGCAGTGGGAGACCGTGCCTTAAATACAAGACAAAATGTTGCAGCGCAAAGATCATTTGCCAGTCCTGCAACTCAGGGAACAATGAGTTCTGCTGCAGCCCTGTCTCGGTGTCACACTCGTATCCTGAACAAGTAATATCCAGAAACACACGAGGAGGAGGAGGAGGAGGCTGGATGATTACTGCCTCTCCCTTTCTCTGGTTCTTACAACACACAGCAGTGAGACTTGCATAGCACACAATAAATCATTGCCTCATTATGCTCCTTCTGGAGATTTGTTTAGGGCACCTACTCTAGTACTGGCTACGGATGATTATTTGTTCTTCCCAGAAATTCCTCTCAGATATAGACCTCTGGTTTGATTTGCACAAAAGGAAAACTCTGCATCTTATTTTTTAAATACTTTCTTAGTGTGCAGAACAATTGACATTACAGAATTGCCTAAGAAAGTAATTTCAGCAATGTCTGGAGGGGATTTTAATTTGTAGGTGGGTGATTTTGTTGAGAACAGGCAAAGGTTAAAGAAGGCTTTTGTGTTTTTGTGGTTTTGTGACTTGTCAATATGAAACATTAATAATTTAAACAGAGGGTCTTCCTCCCCTCCTTTCTTCCTTCCTCCCTTCTTGCATGCCTTCCTTTTTGCTTTCCTTCTTCCCTTCTTTCTTTCTTGCGTGCATAAAAGCTGTTGATCCCTTATCTAGCCAGATTTTGTTGAATTATTGTAAAAGAAACCTAAGTAGCTCATTAAAAAACATTGTAAGGTCTTCATTCACTTTTTCTGTATGTCTTTAGCCAGCCCTAGTTCACAGCTGATGCAGGAGGGCACTGGTCTGATTGACAGAATAGGGATTTTGACACTTGGTTTTAACTTAAGGAGACAAATTGTCTCCTAATAAAAGGTGTGCATTAGTTGGCCTGATTTACTAACAAGGAGCAGTATTGCTGATTTTGATAAAACAGTATTTATTTAGCCTTGCACCAAGTAAATGCTGGAATAACCTAGATTGTACCTGCAATGGATTTGAACGGCCAGAGCGGAGACTTTGGAGAGCAGGTGGGTGCACTGCAACACGGCTGGGTTTTGCTGCAGTGTGACAATGTGATCTAGGATCCGATCCAGGCTCCTCAGAAATCAATGGAAATTCTACCCTTGACTTTACTGAGCTTTGGATCCTGCTTCAATTGTGCCAGGATGGAAATCAAATTATTCCAGCTTGGGGGAAGAATTTTCTGGCTTAACAGATTCATTGTTTTGTATTGATGGGTGTCTTTGTGTAAGAGGTCCTGATTTCAAATTTGAGTGGTTTTGATACGCCATGATCCTCCCTCCTAGCCACAGTCCCCTGAAATGCAATAGACTTCTGTTTTGTGACCACTCACAGACATCCCAGAAGAACAATGACATTTCATAGATGATTGTAACGTGAAACTCAAAATCATTGTAAGCTTGCTCAAAATGTGACCTGCCTTCACACAAAAGCTCCCTAAGCTTTCTGAACCTCACAGCAAAGCTGGATATCTTCACAGCCATAAAGAAACACAAAACTAAGTCACTCTGGTGTATTTTGGGGTTTCACTACACATCCTCCTGCCCCACTGTAACTCAGAGTCTTGGGTACAATTCTCATTTGATCTTAAACTCTTACAAAAAGCCTAGGAATAGAAGATGTGCTGAGGTAAGGGCCAGAAAAGACTGTTTCCAACACCCACTGCAACCCGAGTCCCCCACAAACAATCAGGACTCAGCGAGAATTGTACCCAACCTTTTTTGATGGAAGTGCAGTGGTGACCTTGTAGATTGATTAAAGATGTGACATTGATTGACTTTGAAGGGAGCCACATCCACCCTTCTTCTGCCAAAAAGGCAGTGGCTGCAATGTGAAGCCTCAAGAATGGGGCGTTGCTCTTCCAAGTACATGGAAGACATCCAAGGGTAACGGGATAATGCAGATAATGGGATAGGGTTTCTCCCCTCCTCTTCCTTAAATACCATATAGATACATTTTGGCTATCCAGCATCATTCCTTAGAAGACTTTTCTCTGATAGCTACTTAAAAGATGAAATATCTGAGGAAATAAGCTCTTTTGGTAGGTTATTTAGGATGCTTGGTGGTTGAGAATGTCAAAAAGGACTGGTGATGTTGACTCTGCGAGAACCTTTATTGGTGGTGGGTGTATGATGCTGTGGGGACCAGCATCAGCAGAAGGGATGGTGTGATGGGGAAAGCTTTATTCCCCTGGCCAACCCACCCTTGAGGATTGTTCACACTGTCACTTTGGGGTGTCAAGTTTGAGAGATGCTAAAATGGCCCTATTTGCCAAAGATACAGAGGATCTTAACAATATGTGGTCTCTTTAAGGCACCTTGAGTTGGCACTGAGGAATATTGGCCTCCAAAATTACCACTTTTGAAAATCTAGGCCACTGAACCTGATATGAACTATCAGAAAGCAGAGACAAGGGATTATTTATGTTGGAGAATGTATAGTGGCTTGAAAACTACAAATCAAAATAATTCACCCTTTTATGTGTAAATCTCCTTCTCTTTGATACACAAATTGAAAAGCTGTCTGGTTTCCTTGTAGTTTCTGTAAGCAAGCAGTGTGTGACTGCACCCTCTAGAATGCTATTTAAGTGTTATTTAAAGTGCAGACCTGTTAAGGTAAAGCAAGCTCATCTGTATGCTAAAACTGAGCCCACCAAACCTTACACCTAAAACCAGCAGGCAAGGGGGTCTTGAGTTCCACAGCTCCCCCGTGACAAGGGCATGGTGTGACAAACAGTGAAGCACCAAAAGATCAAAGCACTTTTTCAGGCACAACAATAAAATCAGAGACAGAAAAACACCAAGTCCTGGTACCTGAAGATGCCTGCTCTTCCAAAGCAGCCTTTGTCAGGTTTGACACAGCCAGCCCATGGCAAGGGGATGCAGGCAGGAGCTGCACACTGGCAGTAAACAAACAGCAAATGACCATCCTGTGTGGCGCATTTCTGAGCTGGGAGAAAGGCTGGACAGTCACTGCACAAAGCCCACGTGGAGGGGATTACTGGGACACACTGAATTTACCATGAGTTTATTGAAGACTGTTCAATGCAACCGTGGAAGGACAGCATGATGTGTTTTGCTCATACTCCAGAGTTGTTTTCCCTGGTTGAGCACCTCTCCTCAGGTCCTGTGGAAGTCAATAGCTGTCTTGCCTTTCAGAAGGATTATGCCCCTAAATAGCTTCTTTAGGAAGTGTACTTTGCTTGGTGATAACACAAAGCAGAGGGTAGATGATTAACACCAATTAGGATTATTTACAAGAACCTAGAAAACAATAGGTCCATAAATCATTGTCTTATCAATTGTAGTTCCTCCTGAGTAATTCAGTCATCATTGGGCACACTGTGTTAAGTACAGATCACACTGATGTTAGCTGAAGTGTGTGCAAATGTTGAAGATACAATATGTCCTAAAATAGCAGCATGTTATAAAAAATATCTGATTGTTTTCAACATTTTTATGTTCTAAATTCCCAACAGTTTTCCCCCAGGTATATTGAATGAATTTAAGGCAGCTGACAGTAGCCTTGTTTCTCTTGGGTTATACTTCAGCTCTATCTACATTTGTGTCTCCATCTGGGGTGGTTTTGCAGTAATCCCCTGGCTGCCTCCGTTTGTTGGGCACTGGCCCAGCTGCAGAACAGCTTCAATGCAAACATATTCCTTCCAGAGGAGAGCCAGTGGGGAGTTCTCTCCAAAAGCAAGCCAAGGCTTGGTGGGACACACTGCTCTGATCCAAGGGGCAGCCACACCACCACAAAGTCCTTCAGGGTGTCTGTCACCCTGTTTGCAAGAGGAAGGATGCCAAACTTCCCAGAGCTCCAATATCAGCCTGGAGTGGGGCTTATGCTTTAGAGAGGGCCAACTGCTTTATGTGACACCCTTTTTGCTGGTGACTGGCAGCTCTTGAACCACTGCTCCTCTTTCTTTCACCAAGGCTTCTTCTGGCTCATTATCCTTTTTATTTGGTAACTACCCGGTCTTCTCTAGCTGTTCCTCCTTGCTGCTGATCTTTTTTACTTCTACTTCTATCACTTTTTGTGATCCCTTTTCCAATTTCCAACCTTAGTCTCCCAGAAGACCCGGAGTGGTGACGCCTGGATGCAGAGGAGATCACACTGCTTATAAATCTGCACCGTGAGGAGGCCAAAAGTTTCTGCAGCAGCAGGAGGTAAGCCAGGACTGCTGGTGGGTGTAAGGAACAGAAGGCAAAGCCACGTGAGTTTGAGAAGAAGGCAGCAGCACCCCTGAAGATGGAGACTTTGGGGCAGTCTCACAGTCCTGTACAGAAAACTTGAAGAGACACTGAAAACTTCAGGTGGGAACACACCCGACCAGCTGCTTGTGTGGTTTGGTCCGTGGACATTTGGGGTCTGCACACCAGAGACTGAAAACTCTTGATTTACCCTAAATTACTTCTTTGTGGACTTCTGATGTAATAGGAATGGCACAAAAAAATCCAATATATCTTCTTCGCCATAATGTTTCCAGCCTGCTAACTTTCCCAGGACTACTTTCTGTTCAAATTACTGGAACTTAATTACATGAGGTTTAATTTCAGTTACTTGGCCAGCTTTTAAAACATATATTCAAATTTGAACCACAAGGACAGAATTTTGGGAGCCTCTTTGTCCTCTCACTTTGTGTTAATTTAAATGAGGAAACTGTGCCTGTGAATCTCTGCTTAACTTCACCTATTCCAAGTGAGTCTCAGTTCTGGAGAGACTTCCCTAACTCTCAGCAGTTTAAAAGGGAGCACAAAGAACCCCTTATGTTATAGTTTATGTTTTTGAAACTGTGCAAATAGATATTTGTCTCCTGCTTATGCATTTTCTTGTAAATAAAATGTATTGAGACCACAGATGGAGTTACACTGACTTTACACCAGATAATGTATTGACATTTTACAAGAAAGTGTTTTATTATCCATACATTTCACAAGTAGATCTTACAATGTTTAATTATGACAAAAAAAAGAAGTGGAAGGAGAATCAAGGGACGGACATAGAGAGAAAATGTGAAAGGACATGGATGGGAAGTGGTGGAGTTGGAGGACAACACCAGCTCTCAAAGCATTATCTGAGAATTCATATGATTAGGACTTATCTTTCTGGCTTCATTATTTCATTACAATCTACTGCTTACCTGATAAGTAATAAATGGTCTCCAAATTTTATTGCATTTGCTCACTTTCTTTAGATTTTGCATTGGTTTGTTCCCCTCTTAGATCTTATTTCTGTTAAGGAATGAAGATTTCATGTTTTTGCTGGGGTTGACTTGTTCCTCTGGTATTTCAGTGTTTTTATTTAGCTAGCAAGCGTCCCACAGCAATTCCTTGGATAACACTTCCATCTATCAGATTGGGATGATCAAGGATACACTGCAGCTGATGTTCAAACACTGATGTGTATCTGGGGTTGGGCACCCACCTCCAACTCAGCAGATACAAAACTCTCCAAAAAGCCAACAAAAGAGGGCTTCTTTTAACCACTCCAACTCGCTAGTGGATTATCTGTAGTGGGTTGGCAGCATGCCCCTCCCTTCCTCTGCAGGAATGCTGGCCTGGCTCTGCAGCCCTGGGTTATGTTTTTGGTGGTTTTGTTTTATTTGTATTTTTTTCTTCCGTGTTACAGCATGCAGAAGAAATAAATGGTAAGGCTGATTTATAATAGCTCATGTCATTTTTTTTTTTTTCCCTCTGAAGAATGGGATTAATTTATTTACCTGCCAGGAGGCAAATGTAGCAACCAGAACTCCTCTTTGGGGAGTGACCCTACCTTGTCAGCATGGCCCTGCAGGAGAGGGCTCCTTGCATGGGCTGGCTGTTGTTTCTGGGAGCTCACGGACACACCTTCAAAGGTTGAGGGTTCAGCTTCTTCTGCGTGAGAGAGGAGAGGAAATGACCTTCACCCAGCTGAGCAGGGAACAACAGGAAACCCTCACGGTCCTGCCATTTCCCACCCGCAGGATCCGGAGCTCAGGGACCTTTTTTGACAAACTGTCAGTGTTTTGTCAGGGTTTAGCTGCTGCAAATATATTACCAAAGTATGTTGATGATTCATGGGGAAGTGGTGTACTCTGATTTAAGTGATGGACTAGCCATTCTGTAATGGATTTGAGAATTCCCAATCAAATTGTACTTAGTTTTATCAAGCAGGAAGCTGGCAGGCTGTGTTTTAATCAACTGATAGCATCTCTTGGCAATTGGCATCCAGCTAGTGGACAGAGTACTTCTCAAAGACCAGCTCACTAAGTTACAGTCACAGCCACTCAGATCTCTCAGATTTACCTCCTGTTTTTTTCTGTTCAGCCTGTTTCTTTCCCAAATGAAACTTTGGGCTGGAAGTGCAGGAAGATGCATCATATATGCTTCTCTTCCACTGGTGTTTTTGGGGGAATGGATGAGGTAGAATGCATTTGCTTCATCCCCTAGAAAGCTATGCTGAAACAAGCTCCTAGATGTAGCATAAAATCCCAGAACCTGACAAATTCTAGAATTTGGTTCTGGCACAAGTTTTTGGAGTGTTCACATTGCATAAGTGTAGTAAATCTATAGTGTGGGGCCACACCAAGTAAGATGTGACCTTTTCCCCTTCAATTAGGCCATGACTCATTATCTATTGTGTCACCAAAGACATACCCAGTGTTCTGACCTGCACCAGCAGATATCAAGAATGGTTCCCTTCTCTGATAAAACTCATAACTCTATTTGTTAGTTCTGGGTTTTCATTAGCAGCTCCTGCAGAGCATCTTCACTGCACAAACCTTCAGGTACCTTAAATAATTCCCTACTCAGAATTTATGTTTTGTCACAATTATTGAGCTGTGGAGCCATCCACACTCATGGAGCTGTGCTCAAGCACAGCATCAAACCTCAGGAGCTGGTTTGTTGTGCCTGGCTCCTGTGGAGTAGTTACTGTACTTAGCAACCCACCTCCAATATAAATATATCTGCTACTCTGAAGAGCAGGCTTTGAAAAGCACCAGAAGGGATCACTCCCCCATAAAGATTTTTTCCAACATTGCAGAGCTGTTGGGACTTTCAGAGAGAAATTCTTCTTGCAGTTAAGCATCCCGGCCACAGGGATGAAGATTTCACCACAGGCTGACAAAGCCCTGGTGAAACCTTCTACAATGGGCCATAAACCCCAATTTAAAGCTGGGTCCTGTCTGAGCTGCTCCTGAGCCATGCAGGCATGGAGGGAGGAGGAGAGCAGCCATCCATGTAGTTGGGATTTGGGAGCCATCTGTGATGTCTTTGCACAGCACCATGTGGAAAAACAGCACCCTGGTCTGAGAGCTGAGCACCAAAACCACGTGTGTTTGAAACTGCTTAAACATTTGGAACCCTCAGAAGAGGCTGATGATTGAAAGGCTGTGAAACAATCATGCTCCCAAAAAGTAATGAAAATGAAAGTGAGGTGTAAGGAGCAGAGATGAGTGATTCATTGGGAAACTGTGCTCTTGAAATTGTGTGACAAATCCTGGGTGAGGGAGGAGCTGTGTGTAAACATTTAAGGGCCACATCCTGGCTTGTCCAGAGGAGTTGGAGATGCAGTGAAGATTAACAATGGACCCTGTAGCTGAAAGGGAAATTTTAACTTCCATCTTAGATATTTTCTGTTGACCATTACATGAAAATCAGAGAAATCAGATCCCTGTTTTCAGTGTCATGTCCCATGAGGGTTTCACCAGACAATGACCTCCACTGCAAGAAATGAAGTTTTCAATGCCAGAACCACCAAAAGGACATGTGAAAACAAAACTGAAAAAAGTCTTCTCTCTCTGGGGTGGAAATATACAATTTCCACAGGGTTGTTTTCTGTGTAAACATTCCTATTTGTATGTTTTACAGATTAAAACAAAAATGTATCTTCCAAACATATTCAATAAGTTAATTTTAAAGCAAGTTAATTAATGTATCTAAGCTTTATCACAGAGCATAAGTAAGTGGAAAAAATCCTCCAGCCAAATGTGAAGAGTCTAATCTTGATTTTCTCACTCTTTGAGTTCATTTATTACAATGTTTGCTCACTTTTATAAAAGCCATGCTCATGTAATAATCTAATTTCTGAGAGCATCTCCAGGGACAGGAGATCCCATTACAATATCTCACATTATGTGTCATTCAGGCAGTATCTCCCAAATCATAAAACCTATAGAAAGGGAATGACACTTGAATAGTAGATTCCTCCTCCTCCTTTTCTTTTTTCTTTTCTGAGCATTTTTTTTCCAGCCCAATGCTCTCTTCCTTATACTGTCTGACCTCATACAGCCATGCTGCTCACCTCCATTCTGCAGAGAAACAGGCACATCTCTCCTTGCTCTACTTGACCCTCTCATCCTGTCTCACACTGTCTTTCATATAGTTTGGGATTTTCCCTTCTGTTCTGGACTTTCATTTGTGCCTCCTCACTGTCCTCTCTGTTTTGTGCCTATGGGTTCTGCTTTGTGAACTGATGAACTGGCCCTGCTGACAAAAATCTGAAAAAAGCCCAAGTTTCAGATCAATGATTCCCCTGGTCTGATCATTTCATTTGTAGCCAAAACTGTCCTAACAGGACAAGTACAGAGAGGCAGGACCTCTCCAGCTGCCTCTGGTGCCAACTCGCAGACCGATTGCCATGCCATCTTCATTTCTTTCAGCAGTTTCAGGAATCTTGATAAAGGCCTCAAGGGAGGCTTATATGGTCTTAAAACATTTCATTGATCCATTCATGTCCACACAGTCCAGGGCTTCCATTTTTAAGATTCCTTCCCTATTATCATGGAAACTGGCTAATTACCATAGAAGCCTGTTAGGAACCTGCTTAAGACAACAGTGTTGGTGTAACAAAGCACTTGCAGCTTACCCAAATCTCAGTGTGCAAAACTATGGAGTCCTTGGGATGAAAATAGGTTTTCTAGGAGATGATTCTGCTGCTTTAGATATTATTTTAACATTCAAACCTAAGGTCACAACCTCAGTCCTAGCTCATCCAGTTAACCATAAAAACCATAATCAATTTTATTTCTTATGATACATCCATTGCAAACTACCACTCCCATTGGTCATTTCTACATGTAGAAGTTGTACACCAAATTATCTGGTCTGATTAATACCAGGTTACTGTGCCCACTAGTGCACTTATAACTTTGCAACAGGAAAATATACCTGGCCTTTTTAAACACAGAGGCAAGCAGAGAAAAAGCACAACATCAGGATTAAACCAGTTCTGACAATTTCTCATTTCCATTTATTCAGAAAAAAGTCATAATTGAGACTTAAGGAAAAAAAGAAAAGCCCTCCATGCCTTTAAGTGTAAAATCCATTTTAGTAGCAGGAAGCTGTTATATGGTTAGAGCAGTTATTTTTATTGTCTGTCTGGGTATAGTTTTTAACTGCAGGCACAGAATAAATCAATAGTGTCATAAAGCTACTCTCACCCTCTGCCCTTTCTAAAGGGACATTGTTCAGTGTCTGTGCTGGATGTGACACAGACTGTGCTTTGATGCACAGAATTATGCCTCTCCTAATGTTCTGGGGGAGAGATCTGTGTGACACATATTTACCTGTATCTTTTTATCCATATCATCTCAGAGTCATCAGGATAAAAGCAAAATAAAACACAGATATACGCACAAAAATGTGCAGAAGTTTTTCATCAGAAGAGAGGGTGTTATTCTCTTGCAAATGGTATTTTTCAATTAATTTGTAATTTCATAAATCTTCTCAGGTGGTGTATTTCTGAGACTGTGTGAGAAAACATTCATAGGACAGTCCACACAACTTAAACCTGATTGTAACCTGCTCTTTAATACAGCAAGTAAGGATGGAGCAGGATCTGACTCTATGAAGCTGGTGCTAGATGAAATTGCC